AAACGGTAAGGTAACGTAAACGTAAAGTAAACGTAACGTAACGAACAACGAACGACGAACGAAGTAACGTAACAACAACACGACGACGACGACACGAGAGAGAGAGAGAGAGAGAGAGAGAGAGAGGATTACAATAAGAAGACTTATACCTCCCAAAATTCACTCTCAAAAAAGCGAGGACCTTCCTTGCTTACGATCGGCTGGTGAACCCATTCCTGATAGGCATCACCAAGATGACCAACCTGGAGATGATTCAATGAAATGAAGATGCTCTGTTATGCCCATTATCCACTAAGAGGAAAGGAGTGAGAAGGGAAGAGACAGAAATGTGTAGATTAGAGACAGGTTTGTGCAGTTGAAAAAAGTGAAATATGACATCAATTATCCAGTGGTTAAATAGACTTGTATTATCTCGTAGACTGATGTTGTTGCCTTGTTCTTGGAGGTAAGGGCATTTCTGCAGGACTAACAAGAAACGATCAACAAAATTTAGGTTTAAAATAGAATATTTCCAATGGTAGCATCACTTTTAACAGGTTCTTTGATGCAAGTTGATGTTCAAGTAAAAGGGACACCGGCAAAAACTAACGAAGAGTAGGGTACATAGTATTAACCCAATAAAGCGTATACCATGAGGAAGATATCATACAGCCAGTAATAAAGCCAACCACAGCTGAATACCTGAATTCTATAAAAATTGAGAGAGTTAATAAGGTATTATGTGAGATCGAACCTGGAAGACAAGAGGCTTATTCAAGTCCACGGTGAATGCCTGTGCAACCATCGTTGCTCTTTTGAGTATTAATATTCACAACTGCACCCAATTTGTATATAAGATTATGTTATTCACAGAACATGAATTCAAGAGTAACGGATAATGAGCTCATTATAAGAGTGTCAATGTATAAGCATCCACCCCTGAATTAAACAATTCATGATTGTCACAAGTAGAAAGTACCCTTGCAGTAACTAGCATGGTAAATGAATAGCTTCTTAGTCTAAGCCTAACAGGATGGATCAATGACTTCTTATTCTAAGCCAGACAGGCACAGATATTACATATAACATTTAATAAAATATACATTATACCATAAGATGAAAGCGGAAGCATCAACCAAAGACTAAACACAGGGAATATATCTTGAAAAGAAATATCTTGGCACAATGGCACTAAAGACTGATAGATCACTACAAAATGGTCCCATTTTTGTATTAATTGTACAATTCGCACATGGTAATTTTGGAAATATAATTGAACAAGCCCATATAATACATTTGTATTTCTTCAACAATTAACATGGGTCACAAGTAGCTGATTTACACAAAATTTGCTAACATTACATTCAGTTTTTCAAGTGTCCTGACTTCCATAGAGAATTGTTATAATCCTAGAATCTTACCATCCTGAATATGCGTGAAATGACGTATTCCACGTGCCCGAACATTTGAAAAGTCAGGACATAGAGAAGTAAAACACTTACCAGTGATTCGAATTACCAGCTTTGAGGAATACATAATGATTAAATGAGATAACTTGCACAATGTAATTTAAATATTTATGTAATATAAGATAAGTGTTATGTTAGTAACTAAATTCTTGAAAATTTCTTTTTGAGAGGCCCCAAACAACACTTAAACCATCAAAAAAATTAACAAAGCTTTTATGACTGCATGTGCCATATACGCAAAAATTCCCCAGTTTTTATTTTTTGAGAACAAATTTCCCCAGTTTGCACCCCCAATGCTAACATCAATCAGTGTACATCTTTCACAATTACAACATTAGTTTTCCCCAAAAAAAAACTACAATGCCAGTTTATTAGCAAACTACAAAATAAAATTTATAAAAAACTATTATCTGATCAATGGTAAAATGTTGCAAACACAACCCAATACTTTTGTTTTTATTGATAAAAAAGTACCGCTTACTTTGTTGGTGAAAATGCTTCTTACTAACTTCAATGAAGAAATGCACATTCTTGAGAACAATTTTTTCCAAACACAATAGAGACAAAATCAGATACAAATGTTTAATTCAAGAACAGAATAATAGAAGGCCCCATAAAAATCGTCCACAAACAATATTATGTGTTTCAGAAACAACATTACATGTCAGGTCTAAATACAAAAACTAAAAAAAATTAATACAACATTCAGTCGATTGAAAAGGCACAAGTAGAAAATAAATAAATACATAAATTAAAAAATACTACATTTTAAATGCTACATAAAATCAAGAAGCTTCTTCATCATAATTCCCCTTTTGCATTCAAAATTCCATTGCCACCACTGCATATTGTCATTTTTATCATTGAAACAAACTCATCTCACTAAAATACATTACAACCTCTGAAACAAGAACAATGAAAAACCCAAGCCCGACAATCTTCCAACAACAGTTCCAAAGATCAACAAAACCACATAACATACCCAATTTTAACCACATTAAGCCCACTAAAAAGGAACACCAATCCCCTTAACATCCACATGAAAAAGCAATTGATCCAACCCACACAATCCACAAAATGAACAACAAAAGTCAGATCCACAAATGTATCCCATCAAAACACTAAATGCAATAATATTTCAAAACAAGAAAAGAACAAATAGAAATGCAGCAAAATGAGCAAGACCGATGAGAAACCAAAACAAAGATCTACGAGTAAAACACAGAATTTCAGCCAACAAACACAAATCATAAACCTTGAAAATTAAAAAACACCACTAAACAATAAAATACAGCAAAAGTATACCAAAACCGACTAGGAATTCCAGACACAGAAAAATAAGCTAAGATGGAAGAAACAGCAGCAACGAAAACCCTACAAAATGTAGGTAAACAACAAGCAGCTGAGTTATTTCTTCCAAAATCCATCGTGAACAACATAACGCACTGAAATGAACCACATTTACCAGAAACCATCCCAAGTTTCAAGATCTACCACTAAAACACAGATATCCAGCCAAAAAACAAACCATAATCATACCAATTTAAATAAATATCATGAAACCACTAAAATGCAGCAAAACACACAAAAGATAATTTTAAAAAATACGACGAGAGAGAAGAAACAAACCGGTATGAATGAAAGAAGCAGCAGCGACAGGTAACCCTAGAAACGAGGCAATAAACCGTATAAACCAGTGAATAGAGAGAGAAGGAGAGATAGGGAGATAGAGAAACCCTAAAATATCAGAAGGAGATGAGGGAAAAACCGCGCTTTCATTCTCCGAACAAAGCCGGAGAAGAGCGGGAACGAGCGACGGAGAATGAATTTCACAGAGAATCGTTTTTCGCCGTTTATACTCACCGTTACATTGGACGTGACAGCTGGACCCAGGCCCTTAGATTTGCCTCAACTGACTGAATTTACCCTTACCATATTATAAAAGGGCAAATTAAACGAAGTTTCATGCGATATGACGAAAAGATCCTCGTTGTTTTTCTCGATTGGCAGAATTGCCCTAGCTGAAAACATTGTCGTTTGTTGGGATTTGAAATAAGGAAAGATTGTTTGTGACAAGGGAAATATATCCAATATTTTGTAGCTATATTTTGGTTAATTTAAAATAAAATATTGATGAAACATTTATAAGAGATGAACTATTTAATATTGGAAAAAGTTTATGTAAGGGTGCTACCTTATAATGTAAAAATAAGGATGCCCCTCAAAAATCCATCGGAAAAAAGTAGTTTTCATGTTGAAAAACCATTTTAGTAATCATCTCGACATCAAGATGTATGACTATGAAAAATAAATAGATTTTAAGTCTCATAAATAGTGCATTTTACAACATCCATTTTCAAGATTTTCATATGTTTATAGATCTACTTGATTTTATCCATTTTTTAAATTTTATAATTAGATATAAAAATAGATTTTGATATAATATTAATAAGATTTTACATTAAAATTATATACCATGATAAAATATGAAGGTGCACCTTACCTCTAAACCTATGGATGCATCTGTAAGCAAACTGCACCCTTTAACAATTCACCTATATGGAACTATTCCAACTCAAAACTAGGGCCAGCAATGGCCCAAGTGGCCTGATCGGCCTGAACCTAAAACACTAAGGCTGGGCCCAAGGGTCGGGCTAGGACCAGTGTAGCCCTGGTTCGCCAAGCCTGACCCTCTTTTTTCCTTGTCTTTTCTTTTATTTTTCTTCATTTTTTTTTACCCAACCTAACCCTAACAGGGCCTAAGCGGACCATATGGGGACAAAGGGTTAGGGCAGAGCAAGTCTGCCCCGCTCGTTACCACCTTTATTCAAGACAATGTGTTGTTCTATGGTGCTATTTTAGAATTAAATCAAAATGTATTTGTAAAAGTATTAAATAGTCAATCTCTTATGTGTAATTTCATAAATTTCACTTTAAAAAATCAATTTTGACATGTCATTTGATGAGTTATTTGAAATTTGATCCAAATAATTGGCAATTTGAAATCTAATCAAGAAACATGAGTAAGATGTTGAATAATTCAAAATATATCTGTACTTTGCTAATTTTCCCTTATTACATAAATATATGTGATAAGATTGCTATATGATATTGGGGATTATATAATATAAGACCTATTACATGTTTGCATAAGAATAATTATACCTAAAAATTATGGTTATATGTAGAGATTACTTGCCCTAACTTGTAAGATGATATGTATATCACACACTAAGTTCACAATTACCTCTAGCTGTCAAATATAGAATTAGATTACCAAAAATATGTCATTCTTTTGTATGAACTTTTATGAGTTTTTCTCTTTTAGTATACAGTACTAGTACTACTGTACTACAGACAACCCCAATTTCACACTTCATAATTAAGATGATTATGACCTTCTTATACTAAAAATTAGTAGTGTTATTGTATGCGTTCTTATAAGATGCATATTATCTATCACCATTAATGAATTAGCTGGATCAAGATGCATGTTATCTATCACCATCAATCAATTAGCTGGATCAAGAGGAAGAAGGGACACGCAAATTCATTAGCTTCCACTCCCATCGATCACCTTTAAACGGAACAATAACAATATGATTCATTTTGGGAATGGAATCCAAGCATCGCTGGTCAGGGAGCACGGGTTTTCTCAACATAACATCTTAGACTCCATTCCAACTGTTAACACCTCGAAAAACAAAAATATCATGCGGATCATCTTCAATGAGTTACAAAAATATTGGCCTTAAGGGGTCGTTTGGATATCTGAAAATATATTACTGACGTAATACATTACTGCATAATACATTGCCTGTAAATAGATTGTTACTGTTTAGGTAGTATTTAGATGCAACCTGAGAAATACATTGTTATTTGTTTGGCTATGCCTGGAACAAATATAATTGTTACTGTTTGTGTAGTATTTAGATGCAACCTGAGAAATACATTGTTATTGTTTGGCTATGCCTGGAACAAATATAAGAAATGCATTACCAATATTTTACCAGTACGTGCCTATAAACTATGATTTATTTCTTTTTTGTCACAAAATTATACTAAAATGCATAATTTTCTTTCTTTTTTGTCACAAAATTCTACTAAAATACAGATTTTTCTTTCTTTTTTGTCATGAAATTCTACTAAAATACAGAATTAAAATCATCATCACACCATTCCAAAAACATTTCTAATAATAATATCATCACCATTCCAAAAAATATTTTTTAATAATAACTTGTACCATTTTACAGTCATCATGACACCATTTCTTACTTGTTTTACATGCCTTTGACACTTATATGGAATCACATGTTTTTTAACATGACATTGGTTTCAATCATTGGAACAATATGATTGGAATAACATGATTTTATCATCATAACCCTTATTTTTATTTATTTTTAATAGAAGTCTTTCAAATGTCTCTCTATATAATTTCAAATAAACAATAAATTTATGATACGAAATTCAAAATCTCTATGGTACGAGTTAAAAATGGGAAGAAGTTTGATTAGTAAACTAGAAGGTTTGGTAATTGTAATATAAAATTTTGAGGTATTGGAAATTATGTTGTATGAAATTTTTTATTATGATTGTGTTGTGTAATTTATCATTATTTTTGTTTTTACATGACAGTTGATGCCGTCAAATGAAGGGATGAGCTTAAAAAAGTAAGAATAACTTATGCTAGTTATTATGAATAGAGAGCTTACAACAAAAATTTCCTAAATTACCTCTCACTACCGTAATAGATTTTTCACTTATGGTGTAATAGATTTCCTACGGAGTGTAATCTCTTTCAATTTCTTTATAACCAAATGGCCGCTAAAGGATAATCTATCAATTTTATGCAGTTGTGAGAATTGTTGGTATCCTTTCTAAGGGGATAGAGGTAGTAGCAGGTCAGTTCGGGTTTGGGTCCTGCCGAACATAGACCGGAATACCTATTGTGGGACCTGAACCTGAAAATATATTGTAGGATTTGGACCCAAACTTGATCGGACCCAATTGGATTCGACCTAATAATTAAAACATCTATGTATTTAAAATATATTTAAATATAAATTTATATATTTTTATTAATCGGAAAATATGGGATTCGATCCCAGACTCAAATAGTATTCGGGTAGAAGATTTGGACCCAAACCCGACTAATCGGATCCAATTTTTTTACTCATAATTGGACCCAATCTAGCCATCGGAGACCAGGTCTGGGTCATCCCCACCCCGCAAGTGGAACTTTATGGGTGATTTTTGTTCATTTATTTGGCGTGTTTTGAGATTCAAGCCGACTTGGGTCCCTTCTTATAATTTGGGAGCGGTTAGTGTAATTTTTTTTTTTTTGCCAATGATTACGGAATTTCACATTGAGACTGAAGAATTTGAATTTCAAAAGTTCATATTCCAAAGTTCCAAGAAATCATGACTTTGCCTCCAAGGGAGGCGGTTCATGTATCAAGACTACCATGATGACTTGAAAAAACAAATTTAATGTCCTAAAACATCTAATTTTTTGACACCATTTTTACGAGTCTTAGGACTCACATGTGGATATGCGTTCCCTTTTTTATTATTTATTTTTTAGATTGATTTTGGGCCTAATTTTTTAGTTATGTACAATCTCTAACATGAAGAACATGAATGAATAAAAATAAACATATTTTAAAAACTAAAGTAAATAATTTTTTGAAGAAAAATTTCAAGCCATTAGTTTGGCCTTTTCTTTTGGAGAGACCACAGCTCTGCATCCATCTTTAAGATAGATGTGGGATGCTTCGGGGGATGCAAATGTAGTTATGAGTCCCCTATACACAAACTACTTTACCATTTTAGAATTTATCTTTAGACAAAATTTTGGTGAGTCAGCCGACTCGCCAAATTATGTGCGTCTCCTCATGCATGAGACGTCCATCATAGAGAAGGGACAAAAAAAAATGGTGCTTCCACTATACATCAAAATGGATAGTGGAAAAACATATTGAAAAAACACATGATTTTTCTTTTTAAAAATTTCAAATTTCAAATTCATAATCACCAAATGTAATTGAGATTAACAAATCTCGAATTTCATATCTAAAATCAATTTTAAAGATGAAGTTTTGAAAGGGCATTGTCTCACCTAATAATTTTCCTATATCTTTTGTATTTTAGACCTTTCAGTTTAATTATTTTGAAATAAAATATTTTTGAAATTTGACTTTTATCTTTTTCTCAATTCTAAGGTCATGGTGGTTAAAAGTGTTCAAAACAATGGATCGGGCAGACTAGTCGATCATGGCCCGATCCGATTAGTCCGATCGACTAGATCAGCCTATTAGTGCCACAATTTTTTCTGAAAAATACAATTTTGATAAAAAAAATCCAAAAAATTCCCAAAAAACTGTAAAAAAATGTTTAAAATTTACATATATTGCTTTTTTATATTGTCACATAAAAAAATGATAGTAAATATTATAAGCATACTTGGGTTTCGGAGAAAATGATTAGGCACCTGAAGCAATACTTTTTAAATGATCAATATATAATAAATATATATTAATATTACATTATATAATATGTAATCAATATATACTATATAATATAAATTACAATAATAAAATAAATAGGAAAAAGTTTATATAGAGCCGAGGTTCTAAACAATCGAATTAGAGCCCACCTCAAAAATGTCACAAAAAGAGGTTGTTTTGATGTCCAAATATATTCAAATTCATCATCTTCATATCATCAAGATGTATGGACATGAGAAAAAAATAGATTTCCAATTTTAGAAATTGTGTATCTTGTAAAGTATTTATCGAACGTCAATTTTCAAGATTTTCAAGTTTTCATAGA